AGATAATTCGTGAAAATCCAAATAACTTCTCAGATATTCATTGTAAAAGGGTTTAAACACTGTTTCCCATGCTTGTTCAATGAAACATGCACCTATGGAACGGTCATTAAGACACTAACAGCTTACAGACGGTAGGCAATTAAGGTCACAGTTGAGAAAACTTAGGACACTAAAGAGGTCTTTCTACTGACTCTGAAAAACACCAAAAGAAAGATGACCAGGGTCCCTGCTCATCTGCGTGAACGTGCCTTAGGCATGCTGCAAGGAGGCATGAGGACTGCAGATGTGGCCAGGGCAATAAATTGCCATGTCCGTACTGTGAGACGCCTAAGACTACGCTACAGGGAGACAGGATGGACAGCTGATCATCCAAGCAGTGGCAGACCACGTGTAACAACACCTGCACAGGATCGGTACATCCGAACATCACACCTGCGGGACAGGTACAGGATGGCAACAACAACTGCCCAAGTTACACCAGGAACGCACAATCCCTCCATCAGTGCTCAGACTGTCCGCAATAGGCTGAGAGAGGGTGGACTGAGGGCTTGTAGGCCTGTTGTAAGGCAGGTCCTCACCAGACATCACCGGCAACAACGTCGCCTATGGGCACAAACCCACCGTCGCTGGACCAGACAGGACTGGCAAAAAGTGGTCTTCACTGACGAGTCGCGTTTTTGTCTCACCAGGGGTGATGGTCGGATTTGCGTTTACCGTCGAATGAATGAGCGTTACACCGAGGCCTGTACTCTGGAGCGGGATCGATTTGGAGGTGGAGGGTCCGTCATGGTCTGGGGCGGTGTGTCACAGCATCAACGGACTGAGCTTGTTGTCATTGCAGGCAATCTCAACGCTGTGCATTACAGGGAAGACATCCTCCTCCCTCATGTGGTACCCTTCCTGCAGGCTCGTCCTGACATGACCCTCCAGCATGACAATGCCACCAGCCATACTGCTCGTTCTGTGCATGATTTCCTGCAAGACAGGAACCTGTTGGATTAGAGGGTGAGGGCTATGGCCATTCCCCCAAGAAATGTCCAGGAACTTGTAGGTGCCTTGGTGGAAGAGTGGGGTAACATCTCACAGCAAGAACTGGCAAATCTGGTACAGTCCATGAGGAGGAGATGCACTGCAGTACTTAATGCAGCTGGTGGCCACACCAGATAATGACTATTACTTTTGATTTTGACCCCCCATTTGTTCAGGGACACATTATTCAATTTATGTTAGTCACATGTCTGTGGAACTTGTTCAGTTTATGTCTCAGTTGTTGAATCTTGTTATGTTCATACAAACATTTATAAATGTTATGTTTGCTGAAAATAAACGCAGTTGACAGTGAGAGGACGTTTCTTTTTTTGCTGAGTTTACATGATTCCATATGTGTTAATTTATAGTTTTGATGTATTCACTATTATACTACAATATAGAAAATAGTCAAAATAAAGAAAAACACTTGAATGAGTAGGTGTTCTAAAACTTTTGACCGTTAGTGTATGTTTTTGAAAAAGGCAGTAAATGAGGCTGAATTAACTGTTTCGCTGCCAGACAAGGCTCCGCTGATAGCCAGGTGTAGCAGTGGTAAGGTGTTGGGACTGCTGTTGGGACTCTGCTTTTGGGACAACAGCAGAGGTCATTACCAGGTGGGTATTTCAAATTGTAGCCTATACGTGATATTGAGGCCATCTATCATACATTGTTGTGCCCCTGGCCTGAGAGGATGGAAGTTCAATATGTAGCTAGAAGTAGAAGGCTAATGTTAACTAGCTAACATTGCCCATGAATGGAAGTTAGGCTAGCGAGCAAGCATTTTAGCCAGGTAGCCTAGGACAACAAAAAATGAAAGTGTGTACCGTATGACAGAGGTATAGAACGTTGCGTCAACATGAAAGAGAGGAGGATGGCATTGGCGTTTCTCTTCAAGTAGGGTGAGTCAACATGTTTTTCTACTTGCACGAACGCAAGATTCTACTTGGAATCTTTTAGTTGTCACTGTATTAGACTAAGCAGAGGTAATTTGATGATCAAATCAAATCAAATTTTATTTGCCACATGCGCTGAATACAACAGGTGTAGACCTTACAGTGAAATGCTTACTTACAGCCCTTAACCAACAATGCAGTTTTAAGAAAATAAAAAAAAGTGTTAAGTAAAAAATAGATAAGTAAAAATAAAAATAGCAAATAATTAAAGAGCAGCAGTAAAATAAAATAACAGTAGGGAGGCTATATACAGGGGGTACTTGCGGTCGGAGGCCGAGCAGTTGCCATACCAGGTGGTGATGCAACCAGTCAGGATGCTCTCGATGGTGCAGCTGTAGAACCTTTTGAGGATCTGAGGACCAATGCCAAATCTCTTCAGTCTCCTGAGGAGGAATAGGCTTTGTCGTGCCTTCTTCACAACTGTCTTGGTGTGTTTGGACCATGATAGTTTGTTGGTGATGTGGACACCAAGGAACTGGAAGCTCTCAACCTGTTGTTGAAATGTTGAAGTTGAAATGGTGTTGGAATAGAGGTAGCTCCGGTTTTCTTTGCGACTTGCGGTAACGCTCTGTGGTTCCCCTTACGAGGACAGATTGCAGTCAGAACTGTGGTTAGAATGCAGTATAACTGCAGTAGGCTGCAAATACTGTGTCCCCCCCAAAAAAAAATGTACTGCAGTATTTTGTAGTGACTGCAGTTACAGTGCAGTATAACAGTATCAGTTTGGACACACCTACTCATTCAAGGGTTTTTCTTTATTTTTACTATTTTCTACATTGTAGAATAATGGTGAAGACATCAAAACTATGAAATTACACATATGGAATCATGTAGTAACCAAAAAAGTGTTAAACAAATCAAAATATATTTTATATTTGAGGTTCTTCAAATAGCCACCCTTTGCATGATGACTGTTTTGCACACTCTTGGCATTCTCTCAACCAACTTCACCTGGAATGCTTTTCCAACAGTCTTGAAGGAGTTCCCACATATGCTGAGCACTTGTTGGCTGCTTTTCCTTCACTCTGCCATCTGACTCATCCCAAACCATCTCAATTGGGTTGAGGTCGGGGGATTATGGAGGCCAGGTCATCTGATGCAGCACTCCACCACTCTCATCTTGGTAAAATAGCCCTTAAACAGCCTGGAGGTGTGTTGGGTCATTGTCCTGTTGAAAAACAAATGATAGTCCCACTAAGCCCAAACCAGATGGGATGGTGTATCACTGCAGAATGCTGTGGTAGCCATGCTGGTTAAGTGTGCCTTGAATTCTAAATAAATTACAGACAGTTTCAGCAGCAAAGCATCCCCACACCATAACACCTCCTCCATGCTTTACGGTGGGAGCTACACATGCAGCGATCATCCGTTCACCCACACCGCATCTCACAAAGACACGGCGGTTGGAACCCAAAATCTCCAACTCTAACGAACTTATCCTCTGCAGCAGAGGTAACTCTGGGTCTTCCATTCCTATGAAGGTCCTCATGAGAGCCAGTTTCATCGTTGCGCTTGATGGTTATTCCGACTGCACTTGAAGAAACTTTCAAAGTTCTTGAAATGTTCCGTATTGACTGACCTTCATGTCTTAAAGTAATGATGGATTGTCGTTTCTCTTTGCTTATTTGAGCTGTTCTTGCCATAGTATGGACTTGGTCTTTTACCAAATAGGGCTATCTTCTGTATATCCCCCCCTACCTTGTCACAGCACAACTGATTGGCTCAAACACATTAAGGAAAGAAATTCCACAAATTAACTTTTAAGAAGGCACACGTTAATTGATATGCATTCCATGTGACTACCTCATGAAGCTGGTTGAGAGAATGCCAAGAGTGTGCAAAGCTGTCATCAAGGCAAATGGTGGCTATTTGAAGAATCTCAAATATAAAATATATTTTGATTTAACACTTTTTTGGTTACTACATGATTCCATATGTGTTATTTCATAGTATTGATGTCTTCACTATTATTCTACAGTGTAAAAAATAGTTTAAAAAAAGAACAACCCTTGACTGAGTAGGTGTGTCCAAACTGTAGAACACTGCAGTTATTCTGCAATCACTGCGTCCAAAATACCACAGTCGACTGCAGTTACTGCACTTTTACTGCAGTTTCAAAACTGCAATATTTTTTCGTAAGGGTCTAAATCAATAGTTGTTTAGTGGTCCGAAAATGTCGGAAACATTAACTTGGTTGACCATGCTGTAGGTAATGTAACTGTCTGTTACTGTACATGCAATATGCTTTGTGGACTTTACTGGACAGAGGTTGCTATCCGGTTTTGTGATAAAACAAAAGGTGTGGTTGAATTTATTCTGCCACCATGTCTTCTTATTGTCTCGGCCTTTAGGCCTATAGTACATATACATATACACGTATATATATATATATATATATATATATATATATATATATATATGTATATATATCATGTCGCAAGGCATATGAACTAACAGGTTATAGCGCAAACAACGCAATTATCACAACATATAGGTTGTAATGTCTTTTTTGGGGGGTGGGGCTTGGCTTGGCTTCCCCATTGATTCTACCCACGGTGGCAAGTTGCTCATTATTGCGTTTTTGCTTCTGCTTGACTACTACAAATCGATCAATGTTAAATGTTCATTGCAAGGTAATTCGATTTTTAAAAAAAGATGGTGATAAATACTGACTTTGATGCGGCACAAAACACGTACAGTAGAGTGGGATAAACTGATGCTTCTCTCGGCCCTCCACCTCCCACCTCCGTCGTTAGCCTGAGCGGATTAGCGCCAAGCATGCTCTGACATTCTTATACTCGGCTCGCCTGCCCATTCGCTGCTTAGGTTTCACTTTCACAGAGGTCTGTTATGATTGGCCAGCATGGCGACCAGCATGCGGCATTCACGTGAGAATTAAGGATGTGTAAACAGAGAGGGGGCGGGGCAGACACACCACTTGACTCCACTGCAAGTGAAGAGAGAGACAGAGCGGACTGAGGAGCGTGTGTGCGTCTTGCATTGTCGTGTCGTTTAACTATGAGTGACACTAGAAAGCGAAGCAGCATCTGGCTGCAGTTTAAAGATATTGGGAACAAGAAAGCAGAGTGCCTTCACTGCAAAACGAAGGTCACTATAAGAGCAGGTTCCACCACAAACCTGCATAGACATACAAGAACTGTCCATCCTACAGTGCAGTTAGAGGAGAGAGGGCAAGCCAGCTCACCATCTACTGATCCTGGTGTGTCTCATACCAGAACAACAGCTGCTGTAACGTCTACTGCCATCCCCATGCGTGCAAGTATAACCTCTCCTACTGCAACTCAAAGCAAAATAAGTCAGTTTTTACCTAAACTGATGACCCCAGCCAAACAGCACAGTATTGATGATGAGTTGGCTAAAATGGTAGCTTCTGATTTTCAACCCTTTTCCATTGTGGAGGACAAAGGAATGAAAAACTTTGTCAAAGCCCTAAATCCCACATACACTCTACCCAGTAGAAAAACACTTTCCCAAACAATGATCCCAAAACTATATGACACAGAACGTGCATTATGGCAAGAAAGGGTGACAAAAGCTCCATCAGTTTGCCTGACAACTGACTGCTGGACCTCCAGAACAACCTGCTCTTTCATGTCTGTCACTTGCCACTTTATTGAAGATTACAAGATGACATCTTGCCTTCTGGACTGCTTCGAGTTCACCGACAGACACACTGCAGAAAACTTGGCAGTGGAGCTACTAAGAGTGGCAAAAGAGTGGCAAGTAGAGGACAAAGTGGTGTGCTGTGTGAGTGATAATGCTGCAAACATCACCAAAGCCATAAAAGTTTTGAAGTGGACCCATCACCCATGTCTGGCGCATACACTAAACCTGGTGGTTAGAGATGCTCTGAAGGTGATCAAAACAACCGTGGATAAGGTGAAGGCTGTTGTGGAGTTTTTCCACAAAAGCACAGTAGCAGCACAGAAGCTAAAGTCCACACAGCGCCAAATGGGGATTCCTGAACTGAGGCCCAAACAAGAGTGTGCCACCAGGTGGAACTCAACATTTGATATGTTGAAACGAATGCTTGAAATAAAAGATGCCATCATCTCCACCCTGGCCCTCATCAACGCATCTATTGAGCCATTAAGCCAAGAGGAATGGGAGCTGGTGAAAGAGGTCTGCGCCGTCCTGCAACCATTCCAGGAGGTGACTGTGGAGATAAGTGCAGACAGGTACCTAGAACCATTGAAGCATTGTTTTCTCTACTACTATTCAGTCACTATTATACATTGCAAACACAACACATACAGTATAATGCATCACGTATAATATGCCACATACTTTTAAAAAACTAAATTCTAAAAGTTGCTGTTTTCTCTCCTTCAGCTATGTCACAGCCTCGAAAATGCTCCTGCTTTGCAAAGGTCTGCAGCTGGTGACAGCCGAGAACCAATGGACAGTAACTGTGCAGAAAGTGAAGGAATTAGTTGCAGCTCTTTGTTCAGCCATGGACCGCAAATTTCTGCGGATGGAGTACAACACTGTCCTTTCAGAAACTACCTTATTGGATCCAAGGTTTAAAAAACTTGCCTTCAGTGATCGTAGAGCTGTTGATGAAGCTCTTCAGAGGATTAGTGCAGCAGCAGCAGCAAAATGCACCCCCAGCAGCCAGCCAGCTCCACCATTACAGGGCCAAGTGGAGGAGGAGCAGCAAACCTCTGCTGTTTGGAGGCTTTTTGATGACAGAGCTACAGGAGATGCTTCAAGGAGAAATCCGACAGCTGATGCTATAATGGAGGTGAGGAGCTACCTTGAGGAGCCCCTCATCCAGAGAGCAGAAGACCCACTGAGCTGGTGGCAGGCCAAGGCCTCAGTCTTTCCACTCCTGGTGAAGGTGATGGAGGGGAGACTATGTATTGTTGCCACATCAGTTCCTTCTGAGAGAATCTTCTCCAAAACAGGGCAGATACTCACGGAGAGGCGAAATCGTATCAGGCCTATCAGCCCATCCAAGCTGAGGCATCTGATCTTCCTGAATGCCAACCTGCCCTGAGGACTAATGCTGTTTGCTGGAGTTTGGTTCTGGTTTTGATTCTGTTCTGTGGATTTGTTTGAAGTTTATTGTTAATTTGTGCAATAAAAAAGTTTAATTGAAATAAACAAATGTAAGAGTGGTTTTGTCACAGAATAAATGCACAGAATTAGGCATTATAAGGTCTCTCATAAAAACACTGAAAGCAAAAGGGTTTTCAACACATAAACCATGATTTTTTTTCAAAGTTAAGGTAAAATATAGGCTACAAAAGATCCTAAATAAAGAGCCGTTCGGGAGTCGAAAGAGCCGGCTCTTTAGCCTGAGCGAAATTTCCTCGACGTCACATGTTAATGCAGAAGCTCAACATCTATCTTATACTGCCACCTATTGGGAGAGTGAAATAGTAGAGTTTGTGTTTGTGGAATTTGACTGCTAGGAAACTATTTGAAATTGTGCTGTATTTGGTAGTCTGTACATGTACAATAGAAATATTACCGCGAGCCGCCAATCAAGGATCTGCGAGCCGCGCAATGACTATGCCTGGCCTAACACAACACAGTCTACAACCCAGCCACCTCAATTTCCTCCACAAACAAATAGACACTGAGAATATGCATTGTAACAGAGAAGCATCAAACTGCTTAATTACCCACATGTTCTACCATGCAATGAGTTTGTTCATGCATGAGACAAGATGATGAATCACCATTAGTCTTGTGAGATGCCTGTGAGAACAAAATGTTTTCCACGTTCCGGAAATAGAGCCAATGGTATGGTTGGCAAGTAAATCAAGCCACACTGAACAAACTGTAAAGAACAAAGTGATCTGATGCCATTACCAAGCAATGTCTGCAAATCCACTCACCTGTTTTCACCTGTTCTACGAAATGGCACTTTTGTAGGTCTCAATTAATCTCTGAAAGGTTGATGACTAAGAGGAGAAAGAGAAAACATCACCCTTTTGACAGCCGGACAAAGATTGTCACAGTCTTTGAGGCTGATCGTCATAATACAGTAATTCAGAAGTTATTTGCTTCTGAATTGCCACTTTGCCAAACTTTCAGATTCCTGAACTGCCAATTTACAGCGCTAGATTACATGTTGTGAACGTGTAGTGGGTGACGCACCGACCAGCCGGTTAGAGAAATGGTTGCTCATGCAAGAGTCCTTCAGGTCTGAGAGCAGTCGGCACATTTCACATTCAGCTGTAAGCTCTCATCACCATTATGTGTATAGCAGCAGGGCCATAGAAATAAGATGTCTATAAAACTCCAATAACAGCCCCTCTTCAGAAGTACAGATACAGTGCACACTGCTGCTTATAGGGATAGTGAATTGGGTTATAGTGATGAGATTGTTCTGCACAGAGATGTGATCACTATAGGAGATTGCTGCATCTATTCAGCCTCTGCTTCAACAGGTAAGCAGGGGTTTTCTGGATCAAAAAGGGGCTTAGGTGGTGGGCGTGGCAGGGGACGTGGCAATGGGTGCTGTTGGCTGGTAGGCGCAGCTGAATTGTAGAGAACATTTTAGAGGCCCCCATCTTGGCGGTGTAGAGACATTTATATTTTTTGAGCAAATGTCCTGCAATTCTACACATTTTTCCATGGAGCTAAGAGAACATTTTGGCTAATGCTGTGTTATTTTGCTCAAACATAATAACAAAATCAGTACTGCTAAATTCATTGTTTTTGGAATTTTCTCTATTTTTTATTTTGGTGATAGTTTTCTAAGATTCTATTATAAAAATAAATATAGGTACATTATCTTTTCTACATACTTTATATCTCGTTTAAAAAATTTTCCATCCCAGATTATTATATTTTTTTACACTGTTTTGACTTAAGTGGCCCACACAAGGATTTCAATGGCAGAACAATCCCTGGTAGGATGTTGAGAAGGTTCTGTGACTAGTAAGAAACCACTGGTTGCAACAAGCACTGATGGAGAATACTCTGTTGTTTTCCCTTACCTTAATAAAAACATTGACTTAAGTGTACACTCTGGCAACCTGTCATGCTGCCTGGGCACTCAGTAGATATAGGCCTAATAGTGAATACAATATTTGTTTTCCTGAACACGCATTGAGATTGACTTCTCTGCCCTAGTAGGTACATAATTGTGTCAATATCATGCAGGCACAAACAGTATTGTTCTTATCTGTATGTCTGGGAGATATGGCTAGTCTGGCATATCTGTCACAGAATAATGATCTCAACCCCTTAGCTTTCAATTGTGACTTAATTACAGTACATAATGTATGTCATGTTATCATCTCTCATCCTCTCTCATTTCCACCTCTATACCCATCTCTATCCCTTCTCCTGTCTTTGTATTGTCTGTAGGAGTGGTTGACCTTTGGGAAGGAGAGAGATGGAGCCATCATTAAAATGGCCCAGAAGTTTGTAGTTGAGACGATAGTGGGGAATTCTCACACACTCTACAACTTGGACAGGTTAGTCGCTCACTGTCACAGTAGGAAGGGTCCAATAAGCCAGAGGACAATGATCATAGGAGTTGGTAAGACGGCACAAACAGACCTTGGACCAGGCTAGTGCTTACCTACCCATGTTATTTTAAGTTATGTCTCCCATTTCTTATTAGTCCGATATCAGTACATCCAATAGTGATTTGAATAGTATTTGAATTTTGAGCTCAAACTGTTCCCGATGGCATATTCAACGACATTGCTTGCTGGATAAAGAAGAGCAAACTGGAAAATAAGAGTGTAAATTGAGAACCTGCTAGTAGGGAAATGACACATCTAAGAACATGTTAAATAATTTGCCGTGAACACTGAATTTCCGCCCCCTCCCGCCCCTCCGGAAACAAAGCTCACTAAGGATCTGGATCACGTTCTGCGCAAGTGTTATTTTACTCACACTACCCTAGCTGCTGTTCTCACTCCCCCTCCCTTTTCCTCTTTCCTCTCCTTTTCCTCTTCTGAATCCAGACAGCTGCTGAACTGTTCGTTTTGCATCGCCTGGCGCCCGGTGTGCTATTAATCCTTACGTCGTTTGTCAACTACTGTTTTAGACTGCCTACTATTTTTTATGATAATCTTCATAGTTATTATGCTGCCATATTGTAGCGAGAGTTGCTGAAAAAAGAACTAGCCAATTATAATGAGAAAATAATCACTATTTTGACTGCCTGTATGCATCTTGCTTGTGTTTGATATGCTTGCCTAAATATACTTACAACAGACAGCAAAGTTTGTACGAACATGTTGATCATGTCTTTTGTGTACAACATGGGTGGTATGCCAGCAGCATACCACCTTGCATCCCACTGCTGGCTTGCTACTGAAGCTAGTCCTGGTCGGTCGCTGGATGGGAGACCAGATGCTGCTGGAAGTGGTGTTGGAGGTCCAGTAGGAGGCACTCTTTGCTCTGGTCTAAAAGAAATCCCCATGCCCCAGGGCAGTGATTGGTGACATTGCCCTGTGTAGGGTGCCGTCTTTCAGATGGGACGATAAAAAGGGTGTCCTGACTCTCTGTGGTCACTAAAGATCCCATGGCACTTATTGTAAGAGTAGTGGTGTTAACCCCAGTGTCCTGGCTAAATTCCCAATCTGGCCCTCATACCATCATGGCCACCTAATCATCCCCAGCTTTCAATTGTCTAATTTCCTTCCTGTAACTATTCCCCAGGTCGTTGCTGTAAATGAGAATGTGTTCTCAATCAACTTACCTGGTAAAATAAGGGTTACATTAATGTAGCCTAACATACCTCCTGAAAAAAGAACATTACATTTACATTTACGGGATTTAGCAGACGCTCTTATCCAGAGCGACTTACAAATTGGTGCATTCACCTTATAGCCCGTGGGATAACCATTTTACAATATGTTATTTTTTTCTTTCTTTGGGGTGGGGTAAGGGGGGGTAGAAGGATTACTTTATCCTATCCCAGGTATTCCTTAAAGAGGTGGGGTTTCAAGTGTCTCCGGAAGGTGGTGAGTGACTCCGCTGTCCTGGCGTCGTGAGGGAGCTTGTTCCACCATTGGGGTGCCAGAGCAGCGAACAGTTTTGACTGGGCTGAGCGGGAACTGTGCTTCCGCAGAGGTAGGGGGGCCAGCAGGCCAGAGGTGGATGAACGCAATGCCCTCGTTTGGGTGTAGGGACTGATCAGAGCAGGTAGGAGCGACCGGTCAGGTAGGACGCAATCCAAGAGTGAGCCGCGCCGGAGAAGCCCAACTCGGAGAGGGTGGAGAGGAGGATCTGATGGTTCACAGTATCAAAGGCAGCAGACAGGTCTAGAAGGATAAGAGCAGAGGAGAGAGAGTTAGCTTTAGCAGTGCGGAGAGCCTCCGTGACACAGAGAAGAGCAGTCTCAGTTGAATGACCAGTCTTGAAACCTGACTGGTTTGGATCAAGAAGGTCATTCTGAGAGAGATAGCAAGAGAGTTGGCTAAAGACGGCACGCTCAATAGTTTTGGAGAGAAAAGAAAGAAGGGATACTGGTCTGTAGTTGTTGACATCAGAGGGATCGAGTGTTGGTTTTTTGAGAAGGGGTGCAACTCTCGCTCTCTTGAAGACGGAAGGGACATAGCCAGCAGTCAAGGATGAGTTGATGAGCGAGGTGAGGTAAGGGAGAAGGTCACCGGAGATGGACTGGAGAAGAGAGGAGGGGATAGGGTCAAGCGGGCAGGTTGTTGGGCGGCCGGCCATCACAAGTCGCAAGATTTCATCTGGAGAGAGAGGGGAGAAAGAAGTCAAAGCATAGGGTAGGGCAGTATGAGCAGGACCAGCAGTGTCATTTGACTTAACAAACAAGGATCGGATGTTGTCAACCTTCTTTTCAAAATGGTTGATGAAGTCATCCACAGAGAGGGAGGGGAGGGGGGAGGATTCAGCAGGGAGGAGAAGGTGGCAAAGAGCTTCCTAGGGTTAGAGGCAGATGCTTGGAATTTAGAGTGGTAGAAAGTGGCTTTAGCAGCAGAAACAGATGAAGAAAATGTAGAGAGGAGAGAGTGAAAAGATGCCAGGTCCGCAGGGAGTCTAGTTTTCCTCCATTTCCGCTCGGCTCTGAAACACCAGACGGGCTGGTGAAATCGAGCTTGAGGCATGGAATTCATAGTTTGAACATGTCAACCATATCTTTAGTGTACAACATGACATTTCCCCCTCCATGTCAATGAGGGGGAAGCGGCAGCGGAGCAGTGGGAGCACTGAGCGGAAGCTATGTACAGAATGACGCAATTTACCACAATCTGCCACGATCTATTACAAATGGTCGCGGCACAAGCTCAAAACTTTTAATTGAGGAACCACTGTAGGCAGCAGAGTGGGCTGCAGCTACATAAAAACAAAATCCTGCACATGCGCAGAAATCTTTGTATCAATAGCCACGGCAAGTCAGGTTCCAGAAAATCCGGAA